ATGCTCCATTTGGCCTTGTAATATCAAACATGCCCTTCTGCTAAACCACTTGGAGGCCTCCTGAATCAAAGCATTGGCACTTCCCTGATTGACCTGAACAAAGGTGTAAAGATCTCAGTGACATGTATATCACTAGGTCCAAGTAGGGAACTGATGCCTGCTGAAAGAACATCCAGCACCAAGATATCAGTGCTCAAAAGCCCAAGAGAAAGATGATGTTCCAAACCTGAAACATCCAGCTGACATAAGGAATACCAAATGCAACTTATGACCAATTTGGAAAATCTTCACACATCCCAATCTAATCCACGGGGTCAAATAAATTCAGCTACATGACACTCCTGTATCCGACTATTGAGTATGAGCATTTCTATCACCAGAACTGCTTTGACAGAAGCAATCCTAAAACATATGACTTCTGAGACAGAAAGAAGCAGCCTTCACTGCCTTGCAGAACAAACCAAGTTCACACATTCAAAGCTGCAGCGTTCCATTTGCTCAAGGCTGACACCCAATGCCAAGTTCAGAAGAGAAAGGACATGCATTAAGAAGAGAAAACCCAAGAGATTCAACAATACTCTGATCAAAAAAGCTTTTATGAAGTCACCAGGACCATCTATAGAAATTGTTTCTAAAAAAAAAAAAATCCCCATCACTCTCAGGATGGTGTTTGTTAGGGATGACAGTGCTACTCGTCAACATTGCAAAGAAAATTTTCAACAACTCTTCACTCATGAATCCAAAGTGGCAACTGATACCTTCTCAGCTATCTTCCAGAACTTTGTACTAGAATCTGTCAATGAACCACCACTGTAGAAAAGCTCAATAAACAGACAGATGAAAAAACAAAGCCTTAACTCCCACTGTCTTCCAGCTGAAGGCTTCAAATCTTTTGCTCACATCAGGACTTTTACGCAAATATGACAGAAAAGAAGAACTTCCAACTATTGAGACAGCCCTCAAGAAGGGAGACTAATCAGTTGTGAAAATTTTTCCAGAGACAACTTTAAAGGATGTTCGGACATAATATCTGGTTCCACATAAATCCAAGAAAATATTGAAAACACTAGTAACTCTTCATTGCATTAAAATCAACCTGACCAAAGAATTTGACTCATTAAATCGTGTGGCTCCATGGATTAAAAACCAAAACAAAAACTACTGATGCTGTAAATCAGAAGTTGCTGGAAAAGCTCAGCAGGTCTGGCAGTACCTGTCAAGGGAAATCAGCGTTAACGTTTCAGGTTGAGTGACCCTTCCTCAGAATCATTATATTTTTGGCTCTTTGGATCATTAGTTTAAAGATTCCAACGTCCAGAAAATCTAAGACATCACAATCCTGTAACTGCTTCATATGACTGAAACTATGGAGTGGGAGACCTGAACTAACACCATCAAAATATGAACTGGTGTCAAGCAAGAGATAACACAGTGTGGAGCTGCAGGAGCACAGCAGGCCAGGCAGCAGAAGGGCAGGAAAGTTGATGTTTCGGGTCAGAAATCTGCTTCAGAAATGCTTGATAGCCCAAATACTAGTTTGAATCCACCCAAAAGTCATTAAATCACCTCAAACATCAACTGGTCTCAAGTGTCAGCATTAAATCACTGCCAAGATGGGAAATTCTTCAATTTCAATTTCATCACCGGTGAAATTAAACTGATCACTATCGACATGCACAATTTACAGTTTCCAGAATGCTACGTTGTAATTTACATGAGTGGCAACAACAAACAACGTTCAGTTTTCAAATCTGCACACAAAAAAAAGTTGACCTGTCCTTGAAAGCTGCCAAGATCAAACTCATCAGTTCACTCTGTCAGTGAAATATTCCAGCTCACATATATGCTAAAGGAGAGACTAAAATATGTTGACCCTTCCCATACCTTAACAGTCATCTGTATCAAAAAGCCACTATTGATGAGGAGATCAACAGTAGCAGCTGTGCCAGCCCAGCCTTCTACAAAGCATGGAAGCAACAGAAAATGTTTTACAAAAAGATTTTTAAGTCAACAAAATTCCAAGTTTACAGAGCAGTTTACATCACCACAATCCAGTACTGCAGTAAGATCTGTATTGTGCACTGTGGATGCCTTTGTCATGTTCCCCAGATTCAATGAGGATCATTGTCTTTCGTGAAGCCACTTTCACAAACGTTCAGGCAAAACTGCAAAATCAACTTTGAAAGACAGGTCAATGTGTCCAAAGGGCTTGCAATTGCCCCCCGTCAGGTGCTTTTTTTACCCTCAGTTCTCAAATGGCCAATATTCTAGTGAAGGCCAAGAAAATCCTTTGAAGACAGTCTGCAGCTCTCCTTGAAGTGCAGCAGCATTGACACTACAGTCATATAGAGATGTACAGCATGGAAACAGACCGTTCGGTCTAATTCATCCATGCTGACCAGATATCCTAAATTAATTAGTCCCATCTGATAGCATTTGGCCCATATCCCTGTAAACTCTACCTATTCATTATACCCACCCAGATGCTTTTTAAAATATTGTAATTGTACCACCCTCCACCACTTCCTCTGGCAGTTCATGCCATACATGCACCACCCTCTGCATGAAAAAGTTGCCCCTTAGGTCCCTTTTAAATTTTTCCTCTCACCTTAAACCTATGCCCTCTCGTTTGGACTCTCCTACCCTGGGGAAAAGAGCTTTACTTCTCACACTATCCATACCTCTCATCATTTTATAAGGTCACCCCCTCAGCCTCCGATGTTCCAGGGAAAATAGCTCCAGCCTATTCAGCCTCTCTTTATAGCTCAAACCCTCCAACTCTGGCAACATGCTTGTCAATCTTTTCTGAATGCTTTTAAGTTTAACATGATCTTTCCTACAGCAGGGGGACCAGGATTGAACGCAGTATTCTAAAAGGGTCCTAACCAATGTCCTGTACAGTTGCAACGTGACCTCCCAACTCCTATACTCAATGCACTGACCAATAGAGACAGGCATACCAAATGCCTTTTTCACGACCCAGTCTTCCTGCGACTCCACTTTCAAGGAACTAATAACCTGCACTCAACGGTCTCCTGGACTTACCATTAAGTTCTGTTCTGATTTGCTCTATCAAAATGTAGCATTTTATATTTATTTAGATTGAACTCCTTCTGCCACTCCTCGGCCCATCGAATCAAGGTCCCATTGTACTCCAAGGTAGCCTTCTTTGCTTTCCACTACATCACCAATTTTGGCATCATCTGCAAACTTACTAACCATAACTCCAATATTTACATCCAAATCATTTATAATCAAATGACAAAAAGCAGTGGACCCAGCACAGATCCTTGCAGTACACCACTAGTCACAGGCCTCCAGTGCGAAAAACAACCCTCCACCACCACCACCCTCTTTCTTGTACCTTCAAGCTAATTTTGTATCCAAATAGTGACCACAAACAGTTTGCTACCAATTGTTTAAACTCATGATGAATCAGTCCTCAAAAGCTGCATCGTGTTTCAAGTCACAATATCTTAATGATCAGGCAGAGAATTGGCAGGGAAGGAAAGAGAAAGGAAGCAAGTCCTGCAGTCTGAATCCCACTCTCACATGCAGCATTCTGCCCCATGGGTCGAAAGATCTGAGGGTCAAAGAACCCGTTCAGTCACACAAATTGAAGACACAAATAAACACCATACTCAAATTGACAGAATCTGAAATCCCTGTAAATCTTCCTAGCAATTCCAATCAGTTCCTGCTCTTACAGAAATTAAGGCAATAACCAAGAACCTCTTGATCATGCTCCATTTTCCTCCCCATCCTCTTTGATCACTCTATACTCAGGAGGTTATCAACCACCAATTCTCCTCCGTCGTCATCTCTCCTCCACATTTACGTTCCACGAGACAGCACTTTCTTGGTTCCACTCCAACCTACTATCAAAGGCTATGTCTTCAGTTGTCTAGGCCCCAAGATCTGGAATTTGCTCTTAACTCTTTCATAGCTCCATCCTCATTTAACACCTTAATTAATATCCATCTTTTTGACCCAAACCATTGGGCATTCCCTCCTAATGGCACAACCTTAGGCTTTGTGCCCATTTCCATCTGATGATGCCTCTCTGAAGTGCCGAGAAATATTTTCAGTTCTGAAAACTCTAAGTGGAGGTTATTATTGAGCTTATCATCAGTAAATAGGGAAAAGGTGATACAGGAAGTAGTACACAGGCAAATAAGGATACAACAGTGCTCTAAACAATGGGAAAGCAATTTTAAACTATTCAAAAGAATATTTGAAAGGAATTAACATAATACAAAAACACTGGACTTCACCAAAGCATCCAGGACTGCTTTCCAAATTAGCAGGTTTTTAGCTCAGTGTTACAGTTGACTCTCCCAATTGAAGCTTAGCAAGTAGGTTGAAAAATATCCATAAAACGATAATTTATATATAATTAAGATAAGTATCAAAAGTTTTAAAAATACACCTACTTGTACAACCATCAAATTTCTTAATGGAATGATGTATGAAGGCTTCAATTTGCAAGGAACATCACAACAAAACAAAAAAAAAAAAAAAAACATAAAAGGCTGCTTGTCAACTACAGCAAGCTTCTCTAGTCATGGAGCAACTGGTGACAGTCACAGAGTATCTTTCCACTGGTAATGCTCCCTTTTCACGAGGGATTATACATTATCAAGCAGAAAAAAATAGGCCGAGTTATGCAGAATCCATTTGAGGATAACTACACGTTTCCTATGTTAGAAACACTTACCAAGGTTGAGTGTATGCTCTCTTCTTGGGTAGTTATGGCATCATAATCAAATTAAAAAGAAATAATTTGCTGATAGTCAGTAAATAAGGCCTTTAATCTGATCACAAAGATTCTCTCCAATTCAATAATGCAGTCCAATAAGTCACACAGCATACAAGTTCTTCCCTTAATCACCTGTGTAGAAAGGCAGGCTGACTTTTCAAACGTAGTGATTTTGATCAAATTGTTGACTCCAATCTATGTGCAAATAAGTCAGTTTAATATTGTAAGCAAGAGAAGTTACCTTTTGAAAATATCCTCGTTTAACCGTGCAATCTTTGACTTGTCGGAAGTAGACAAATCCATAGTAATGTGCTCGATCCCGCTAAAATAAAAACGTCATTGCGTTAACGTATAAAACATACCACAGAGTCATAATATCTTACAGCATGGAAGGATGTGGTCAGCCACCCAGGTTTGCTTCTTTCAGCAAACTCGGGCTCATTAAACTGGGAATCAGATGACTTACCAATTTATAGTAATGCTAACTTCTTAGGACATATTATCTATCAATTATTATCCTGTTCAGAACTTTCCTCTCTTTTACTGTTATCTTCACATTGCTTGCTTCCTAATGAAGACACAGCATTGAACAGCCTATCACAAAAATGTCCATTTATATACCACCTTTCATGTAGGTTAACATCCTGAAGCACTTCATACAGGGATCATCACAAATGTACACAAAGTTGAAGGAGGCAGTAAGTAGTGATTAGAAGTTCAGTCAGAAGAGGGTGCTCTTAAAAGGAGGAGAGAGAGTATTGGGGAAGGAATTCTAAAGAATTCCAAAGAGTGTGGCCAAGGAGAATGAAGGTACAGCCACCAAAAGTGGAACAAAGGGAGTAGAGGCCAGATTTAGAAGAATACACAGTTCCAACTGTGAAACATAATTGCAGTGTATCAATAGATTAAGAATATAGAAATGGGAAGGAGCAAAGCTCTGAGAAATTAATAAGACAATTGGATAAATATACATGAGAAAATGGAAATAATGCGCAAAGAGCACAAGCAGATTGGAATTGTGCAAATGGAAAGAAAGAACGAGGTGCCTTTGTGTTGCTATCACTGGACTTGAAACATTAACTCTGTTTTCTCTCCACAGATGGTGCCAGACCGGCTGATTTTCTCCAGCAATTTCTGCTTTCATTTCAGATTTCCAACATTCACAGTTCATTGCCTTATATTTTATTCACGTTTGTGGAGGCAGGTAGGATGAAGACAGGAGAAAGGGGTATAATTTATAATAATATTGTATAACAACAACTTGGTGTAACAAGTAGTTTTCGGAGGAAGAATGAATGGCTCCGGGTTTCACATACTGCAAAATGCATAGCATTTCTGCACAGTGCTGCACGAAGTGCAAGATAATTCTGAACTGTTTCAGCGCATGTTTTAACATTTATTTCAAAGCTGATAGATTTGTGGTACATAATTGTTGATAAATAGATGAAGAAAGTATTAGATTTGTGTCAGCTTGACTCAAACAGACCTGAAGAACAACTGGTGCATCTCGGTTGTACATCTCTTCATCTCCATTCATGGATAACTTGTGCCCCACTGTTTGTCGGATTCGAAAAGTGAATTGCGTATCACCAAGGCAACCTACAGCAATAACAAAAAAAGCCAACGTTCATACAATGCCTAAAAGATAAGCATAAGTGTTTCATGGCTAAACAGATATTGAACCACAGAAGCAGAGTTTAGGAGAGCAACCAGCAATTCCACAAAGAGTGAAGGTTTTGTTATCAATAACAAGGTCAAGCAATGGGATTGGGATACAAAAAAAACCCAATGCTAGAGGACTGAAGGGTGTAGGAGGGAGTAGCTTGACAAATTCAGAGATAGGATGAGACAACAATAAAAAGGGATTTTAAATTCTGGTTTTCGTTTTCAAATTTGAAATATTAAGAAACAGGGGAAACTTATTGGGCAAGCAGCACTGTGTGGGACAGGATACATCTCAACAGATTTTGATCAAATTGGTGCTTAGCGTCATTTTAACTCAGTAGAAGCAAATTTATGTTCAAGTTGGAAGGTTGCGAATTCAAGCCTATAAAAATATACTGATACACTCAAAAATCTTTATGTACATACACATGTAATACAGCAGTTCTGTAAAGTCTAAGGTTTGAGTAGATTTGTAGCTCGGGTTGTGGGTGTTGAGGTTGGTTGGCTCGCCGAGCTGGTTTGCTGTTCCGCAGATGTTTCGTTACCGTGCTTACCAAGCATATTTAAATACATTTAGTGAGGAACGACAAGGTCTGAGAACTGAACAGACTCCCACTGTACTTCGGCAGAAATACCTTAGATGGTGGGCTTTTCCCACTCCACCTTGGCAGCAGCTGCCCCAAGCTTCAGTGTGTACCTCAGCACAAAGTCCTGGACCTTGGAATGTGCCAGTCTTCAACACTTGGCAGAGGTGAACTTTTTTGCACTGGAAGACCAACAGGTTTTGGGCAGACCAAATCTTTCACTGAGTTCATTGTCTTTCAGGTGCATTGAAGTTTGTCTCGGTTAGTGACCCCGGAACAGAGTCTTGCATCACGGAGCAGCTCGGTATAAACCTTGACAAAACCAATTCCATCTCTCTCCAGAAATAGCAGGAACTGCAGATGCTGGAGAATCTGAGATAACAAGGTGTAGAGCTGGATGAACACAGCAGGCCAAGCAGCAGAGGAGCAGGAAGGCTGATGTCTAGGCCCGAAACGTCAGCCTTCCTGCTCCTCTGATGCTGCTTGGCTTGCTGTGTTCATCCAACTCTACACCTTGTTACCCCATCTCTCTCCAGACCTTCTTTGCATAGGCACTTCTTCCCCACAGCTGCTTTGAGGGCAGTGTGCAGTGACACAAAAAGTCCAGGTGTACATGTAGGATCTCACAGGTAGAACCCTTCTTGCTACCAGCCAAGCTACATCTTGCGGCTTTTTGTAAAGTTCTGGCAATGAGGCATTCTGCTAAGTGGCTTTTGACATTCTGCTCAGGGAACCATGCGATAGGATACACCCTCTCCTTTTCCCACAGGGTCTCAAGGATGCTACATGCTGACCATTGCCCGATAGCCTTGTGGTCAAAGGTGTTTTTCTTTACAAACTTTTCAAAGAGGGGCAGGCGATACAGAACGGTCCAACTACTTGGAGCGTAGCATGATAGGGAGGTCGGGCCCATCCTTTGTAACACCAGGGACAGACAGAACCTCAATACATAGTGATACTTGGTGCTTGCATATGGAGGGTCTGCACACAGCTTGATTCAACCAGACACAAAAGGTGGCCATCAGGATGGGGGAAAGCATTGGGTACATTCTTCACCCTTTATCTAGATCTTTGTACACAGTGCCTTTCCGGACACAGCCCATCTTTGACCTTCAGATGAAGTGGAAGATAGCTCTGGTGACTACAGTGGCGCAGGCTCTGGGAATAGGCCAGATCTACACCACATACAAAAACACTGAGTACACCACACACCTGATGACCAGGTTTTTAAACCAGCATTGGAGAAGGATCTGTCTAGTTTCTGTCTCATCTTAGCAGTCCCTCTGAACCATATACAACAAAAACAGAAGTTGCTGGAAAAGCTCAGCAGGTCTGGCTGGATCCAGGAAGAGAAAATCAAGAATTAACATTTCAGATCCGGTGATTCTTCCTCAGAACTCCAAGTACAGGGATACTTTGTTCCAGGCGATGGAGGCCTACAAATCCAGTCATTCCTCTCACGTTCACATTCTCTATGTGATCTGGCGAAAGGCTCTATACAACACACAAACAAGGCAAGAGAGAGAGTGGGCAACCCTGCCTGACTCCAGATCAGATCGGGAAGCTTTCTGATTCCATTCTCATTGATTGAGGCGGCATTACTGATGTTGGTGTAAAGTAGTTGGAGCCAATTGCAGATTCCCTCCCAAAAGTCCATTTTGTACAGGACATCCCTCATACAGGTGCATGATATCCTGTCAAAGGCCTTCTCCTGGTCCACACTGGAGAGACAGGTGTCCACACCCCCACCCCCTGCACATAGGCGATTGTATATCAGAGGAGCGCAAGGCTGTCAGAGCTTCATGCCTGTTACAGCACAGGTTTGGCAGGGTGAATGACTGCTCCCAGAACAGACCTGCTCCAGTTGGCAATGAACTTAGACAAGATTTTATTATCCACATTCAACAGTGAGATTGGTTACCAAGTTTTAATTTCCTCCCTCTCTCCCTTCCCCTTGCACATGAGGATGATGATATCTTTCCTCATGGATGCATACACGCTCCCTGCATCAGAGCACATCCTGGCAGCAATACCAATGGAGTGCTGCACTGCCAATGGTGCTGTCTTGCAGATGCCACAGTAATCCAGTAACTGATCCCATGGCACCTTTTTAAATAGCAGGGAATTCTTTTGGTATCCTAGTCAACATCCAATCAATACCCACCAAAAATAACTATTTGCTAATTTAACACTTTGGTTGCTTGTGGGATATTACTGTAAGCAAATTAGCCAATAGTGTACGTAATAAACTAAATTCAAGTTATTTTTTCTTTCTTAGGGAGGTCAACAAACGGAATTTTAAGAGGATATAATTATCACATTTCAACGAAGGGTGGCCTAACAAAATTCAAAAACCAGGAAAAAGAAAAATGCACAACCATCTCAGTGAATTTTAATTGCATAGTATAACAGGACCCTAAATTGTAATCTAATTGCGAACACAAGTCATTTTGAAAGCTAGCTTGTTAGACTAGTTCATCATTCTTTGTGTCTGACTCTTGACTTGAAACATGACTTATATTTTCTCCCGATCTTTCATTCATCTTAATTTCTATCCCCATGTTCTATCATACAAAAAAAAAAACTGTGGATCCTGGAAATCAGAAATTTCTGGAAAAACTCAGCAGGTCTGGCAGCAGTGTTTGAAGAAGGTCCACTGGACCTGAAACGCTAACTCTGCTTTCTCTCCATGGATGCTGCCGATCCTGCTCAGTTTTCCAGCAATTTCTATTTTTGTTTCTATCATTCAGTTACTGACATGAATTGCTCTCAAATTCCCAAACATTGGACATGTCTATTTTGATTAGATTAATAACAGTGGCACTGGGTTTTCCCCAATATCAGTGAGTAGGGAAACAGCCCTACATGAACCTTTTCATCTAAGTCAGGCACTGCTATTATTGCAATCTAATCCAATATCGGTTCAATTAAACTAAGATGCCAAAGCATAAAATTATCTACCTCAACCAGTATGCCCTACAATACCCATAGTCAGTCCATTGACAAACTCCAGTGCTGCTAGGTGTGACCAAGGCAGTAGAAGACAGCCAAAATCAGCCTAGATTTGGGAGAGATAGTAGGAACTGCAGATGCTGGAGAATCTGCGATAACAAGGTGTAGAGCTGGATGAACACAGCAGGCCAAGCAGCATCAGAGGAGCAGGAAAGCTGATGTTTCAGGCATAGACCTTTCATCAGAAAAAATGGTTTGGGAATTGCTTTCTTGCCAGAACTCCAGGCCTTTGTTTTCTTTTATTTTCAGACCTTTGGGCTGCACATTTCAGACGTTAAAGAGTCGATACTCTGGATATAAGTTAAATGAACAATCGATGCTGATGTCAAAAACTGCAAATGATAAATCTTCAGCCTCAGAGAGCTATACTCATTAGTCTTGGTTTTAAACCCTCCTTGTGCTGATGTACAATTCCTGCTTTCTTCCCAAACTAATCCTTAATTCAAAGACTTCTGATATGAAAATCACAATAAATTACAGCATAAAGTCCAGAATTAAATATATTTCCAGATGGAATAGAATGATTTGCATGACAACAATTTGCTACAAAGATCAATAAAAGAGAAGGTATGCCTTACTTTTGTAGATTTCTTACCGGAGTAGGAATCTGGAAAAGACAGGTAGCAGATGCTTGTTTTCTGAAAACAAAGTTAAAAGTAGAGAGGAAGAAACAAATCTGAAATTAGTGCAAGTGACTAGGATAGAATTGAATTAAGTATTAAACTTTGAGGTCTATAAAGTAATAAACGCCATTGCTTTAACAGATTAGAAAGTCTCCTTGACATTTAAGCTAACTACAACAAAACAGCTAATGAGATTGGCTTCCTACCAATTGAAAATTAAGGGAATGTTCAGCATTTACTGAAAAACATGAACAGAATTTCATTTTATTAGCATTTTTCACAATTTAACATTTATTCATCAGCTGCTTCCACATTTAGTTAAGTCAGTCAGAAATTATTCTGACGTGTATCACTATTTTTCAAGAAGTTAACACATTTTGTTTTCATACAGCTTTAAGCTGCTATCCAGCTGATGGAATAAACACAATTTCCTAGCAGGCCTCTTACCAATGTCTTTCTACTTGAACAGCTTGCAGTGGATAACTCTGCTTTCCCCAATGCCTGTCTCTACTTGACTGGGTCCCTAAGTATGCACTCATTTGCAGGGATCACCTTACATTCGACTATTTGATACAGAGCACTCTCTCCTATCTTCCATCTCCCAATAACACAGTCACTTTAAAAGAAAGATAAGGTTGTTGATTTGCTCGCCGAGCTGGCTGGTTTTTGTTCAGACGTTGCGTCACCATGCTAGGTAACATCAGTGGAGCCTCCAATGAAACGACGTCGTTCCACTCCGCTTGGAATTTATACCATTCGGTCCATTATTGTGAGTAGTGTCATTTCTCGTTTTGTTGTTTGTATTACGGGTTGAGAACCAAAACAACAAACATGTAGAATAGGACCCTATATACAAACCCATACAGAACAAAACCAGAAATGACACTACTCTCAATAATGGACCAAACAGTATAAATTCCAAGCAGAGCGGAACAACATTGTTTCATTGGAGGCTCCACTGATGATGTTACCTAGCATAGTGATGAAACATTTGAACGAGAACAAGCCAGCTCGGCAAGCAAATCAACAACCTCACCCACAACCCAAGCTACAAACTCTTTGCTGAAAACTTTAAAAGAAAAATGATGCAAAATAGTTGATGAATGAGATAAAATACAACCCAGCCAGGATTTATTCATTTTTTTCTATGAACACAATTCAAAACTAATCGTTCAGAACTACCAAATTGCAGAATCACAGGACAAAAAATGAGGATGGTGGGGAAGATCATGCAATCCACTGTGCCTGCTCTTTCAAAGAGATAATCATTTTGTTCCACTTCTCTGCACTTTTCCCACAAACTGAAATTTCTACACTCAAGCATTTACCAAATCCCTTTTCCAAGTTATTATTGAATCTGTTTCTATCATCATTATTCTAGTGACCATGCCAGATCATTATAATTTCTCATCTCACCTCTGATTTTTTTGCTGATCTTATAGCTGTGTTCTGCCACTGGAAAAATTGATTTATTCTGTCAGAATCTTGACTTTGAACATCAAACAAATTGCCAATTAATTTTTTCTGGTCAACCTGCATACTTCTCATTTCTACGTAACTGAAGTCCCTCATTACAAATACAATTCTAGTAAATCTCCTCTCTCCCCTCTAAGGCCTTAAGAACTTTCCCGAAGTGTGGATGCCCAGAATTGGGCCAAAACTCTCGCTGGGTCATAACCAGGCTTTAGAAACAATTACCATAACTTCATTGCATTTGCACTCCTTTCAAAGAAACCATAGAAATGATATAGTACTGAAGGTGGTCATTCAGCCCATTTTGTCCATGCTGACCCAAATATCTTAGAATTCCTACCATGTGGAAATGGGCCATTCAGCCACTGAGTCCACACTAACCCTCCGAAGAGCATCCTATCTCCCTGTCCTATCCCTGTAACTCTGCATTTCCCATGTCTAAACTACCTAGCCTGCACTTTCCTGGACACTACAGGGCAATTTAGCATGGCCAATCCACCTAATCTGCAGTGCTTTGGACTGTGGGAAGAAACCAAAGCACCTAGAGGAAACCCACGCAGACGTGTGGAGAATGGCAACTGTCTGTGTGGAGTTTGCACAGAGTGTGGAATTGAACCCGGGGCACTGGCACTGTGAGGCAACAGTGCTAACCACTGAGCCACCGTGCCTCCCACAAAGATACCCAGAAGCCCTTTTTAATCCTATTTTACATACAGGCCAATGCCCAGCAGCTTACAGTACTTAAGGTGTAGATCCATGTACTTTCTGAAACAGTTTAGGGTCTCTGCCTCCAGCACCAACTTAGGCAGTAAATTATAGACACACCATCCTCGGTGTAAAAATCTTTTCTCTCACATCCCCTCTAATCCTTCTGCTTGAATCTATGACCCAGGTTTTGAACTGTCCTCCAAGGGGAGCAGGTTCCTCCTGTCTACTCTCTCTATCCCTCACAAATGTTGTATACCTTGATCAGGACACCCCTCAACCTTTTCTACTTCAGGGAAAAGGACCCAAACCTCTTCAATCTCTTTTCATAACTACAGTTCTCCAGCCCAAGCAACATTCTAGTAAATCTAATCTGCACTCTCTACAGCAATTGCGCCCTTCCTATAATGTGACGACCAGAACTGCACACAATATTCCAATTGTGGCCTCACCAGTGTCTTATACAGTTTCATCATTATAAACCTACATTTGTATTCTTTACCATTACCAATGAAGAACAGCATTCCATATGCTTTCTTTACAACCTTATTTACATGAGCTGCTACTTCTAGGGATCTGTGCACTCACCAAGATCTTGCACTATATCTTCCCCTCTCAAGATATTCTGTTTATTGTATATTCCCTTTTACTATTTGATCTCTCTAAATGCATAACCCAACACTTAGAGTTGAACTTCATCACTTTCCTGCCCACTTCCATCAACCTATGACATTTTGGAGCTTACAGCTATCCTCTACACAATCCACAACACAGCCAATTTTTGTGCTGTTGCAAATTTACCAATTGTGCTCCCTACTTTCAAGTCCAAATCAATAATGTACAAAACAAATCGCGAGGGTCCCACCACCTAGCTTTGCCAAACACACTTGAAACAGCTTTCCATTTGTAGGGCAGTCATCGACCTGTACCCTTTGTTTCCTGTTACTAAGCTAAATTTGGATCCAATTCAACACATTGCCCTGTATCCCACGGGCATTTACTTTTTTGACCAGTCTGCCATATGGGACCCTGTCAAATGCCTTACTAAAATGCATGTAGACAACATCCACTGCACTACCCTCAAAGAATTCAATCAAATTTGTAAGGCATGACCCTCCTTTAACAAAGCCATGCTGACTATCCCTAACTAGTCCATGCCTAAGTTTAGCCGATCTCAAGATCGATTCTAAAATTTGTTCACCACTAAAGTAAGACTAACTAGCCTATAATTGTTTGACGTCTCCTTTGTTTAGATAGGGTACAATGGAACCACAATTATATTCCTCCAGTCCTTTGGGACCTCACTGGTGTCTAGTGAAGATCAGAAAATATTCCTCAGAGCATCTGCTATTTCCTACCTGACCTCTTTCAACATCCTAAGGAACAATCATCCGACTCCAGCAACCTATCCACTTTCAAGGATTCAAACTCCTCTAACACTCCCTCTCTCATTATGATTATTTTGTCCAATATTTCCTCTTGGATTACTACATCCACATCATTCGTTTCCTTTGTGAATACAGAGACAAAACTTCATTTAAAATTCTTCCCATATACTCTCCATGTTCATACAAGTTCCCTTCATCTGTGCTAGGTCCCACTTTTTCCTTAAATGTCCTTTTGCTCTTTATATATTGGTAAAAGATCTTTGGGTTTTCCTTTATCTTGTTTGCTAATACTTTTTCATGCCCTCTCTTTGATTTCCCTTTGTTTTAAAAGACTTGGAGTACTTTCTATACTCCTCTACACTAATCTGCAATGTTGAGTTTTTGTGACTATCATAAGCTTTTTTTTCGGTTTAATCTTCCCCTGTATTTTTCCAGGGGGCCATAGGGGTCTAGATTTGGCAGTACCATTGTTATTTTTGGAGGGGACATGTCTGCTTTGTGCTTTAAGGATTTCACTTTAGTGCCTTTCACTGGTTTACCACAGACTTATCCTTTAGCAGTCCTGTCAAGTCCACCTCAGTCAAATCACTTCTCAGTTTGTCAAATATGCCTTCCCCCAGTTTAAAAATTTTATTTCTGATTTATATCTGCCCTTTTCCATAATAATGCTAAACAAACCAAATTATGAACACTGTTCCCCACACAGTCGCCCACAATCACTTCAATTTGCTCATCTTCATCTCCCAACACTGAACACAAAATTGCATCTCCATTCATTGGGCTTGTCACATATTGTTTAAATTTTAAAAAATCCTGGACACAGTACATGAATTTTTCACCCTCCATGCTCCTCACATCATTTGAAACCCAGTTGATATTGGGATAGTTAAAGTCTCCTACTATTGTTGCCCTTTTATTCCTTCAGGTAGAAGTTTGTCTACACGTGTTCTTCTATCTCCCTCTCACTGTTTGGGGGTCTGTCGTACACTCCTAGCAATGTGACTGCCCTTTTTTTAAAAAATTCCTAAGCTTAACCCATACAGCCTCACTTGTTAGCTTGTTTAGTATAACATCCATTCCCACAGCTGTAATTGATTCTTTAACCAATCCTGCTACATCCCTTCTTTTTTGTTATCCACACTATCCTGCCTTAAGGATCTATATATCCAGTGATATTGAGCTGATAACAGATTCAGGATTCATTTTTTCCTAAATTAAAAGCCTTCTAAAACTTATCCTGCCATCATTAGAGATGTGTGCTCATAGCTCCAAGACTTGCTAATCCTGCACTCCCTTTCATTTACATGGACTATTTTCTTTTAATCTGACAAAATGCATCACTTCACACTCCTATGTTCCAATATTGAGAGCTGAGAACAGAAGAATTACTAATTCAATTTTAAGAAAGCTCCATTGTTGTCAGTTAAAATAAAACTTCAATAAATGAAA